CCTTAATTAGAGGGCTTACAGAAGTCCTTAAATATCCTTCATCTAGAGATTTAAGCCATATGATCAATCGATATCATCTTCTTGGACTCGTGATCACACATCACGTTTCCTCTCATTACTGACATGCATCAATTTTACGTGATTTTACCTGTATTTTTCCTTAAATTTTTGTTGATGTTGTGCAGGTTCTAAGTGTTAAGCACGCAAAATAAAGTCAAAACATGCTATATAGTGTTGTTCGTGTGACCATTCCTAATTTGGTCATGACCACACACGAAAATTCCATAATTAGCGTGACCATGCTATTTTGGGTGTGACCACGACGGGGTGGGGCGTGACCACGCCGCTGGGTGTCCAGAACTCATATTTTGCAAGATTTTTTACTGATTTCTTACCGATTTTGGAGTTAATGAAGAATTAACAGAACTTAGATGCCTATTTTGGATACCTAATGTAAACCTAACTATACAAAATATATTTTTATCATTAGGAAAGGGGGATCTTGGCCTTTTTTTGGCTTTAATGATGAGAGGAGGCAACATGGGCACAATTGAACTTAAGGGGTTTTCTTCCTTTGTATTTTTCTTATGTTTTCTGATAAGCTATTGTAAGAAAGAGGAGTTGGATATTGTGGAAGAGGGCACTCTTGGTATTGTAATTTTTTAGTTATAGTTTTACTTGCAATGATGAGTTCAGTATAATGCTTTTCCTACACTCATTCCAACATGTGTAGCTAAATTTTCTTTTGCCTCTCTATATTTTATGGGATGTGATTTTGTGATTTTCTCAAATGATTTCTTTCATTGTATTTTTTTTCCTGAGGAATCAAGGCTTTTCATTGTTGCGTTAAACATAGGTTTTCTTGTAATCCTGATTTGAACAATTAGGGTGTTAACATATTTTATGATTTGTGACTCCTACCCATTGTGCAGAAGAATGATATGGTTAACCACAAAATTTGGATAACATTTTATTCTGGTTTTGCATCTAAGAAAGGGGATCATTCTTCATAAACATAAAATATGCTATATAGTGTTGTTCTTGGGATGTCATGTAGATTGAGGATGCCTCAACTTCATAAATTCTAGCATTCTTTTAACCTAAACATAGGCATAAGGAGGACTTCGTATCCCTATTGATAACAATCACGTTGGGGAAAGTCTAGGAAAAACACTAATCAATACATTACCTAAATCATAGAGGCATGAGCCTCACATAACATGAAGAATAGTAAAATTTATCTACCACTATTTTTCATCTTTTCCAAACACATTATCTTTTATTTTCACTTTTAGGCGGAGTTTTAAGACTAATGTCTGTTGTGATCACACTAAATTAGGCTTAGAAGTTTAATAAACTAGAGATTCACCCTCCATAATAATTCTTAACACTTTCTCTATGGGATTGATACACAGTACTCATTAACTGCATTCTACTTGACATGTGCACTTGCATTGTACGTCCAACTTACTTTTTGATAAATTTGAGACGTTTAGTTTTTGACACCATTGTCAGGGAAATGCGTTAAAAGGAATCCTGATTTTAGGATAACTTTTATTGAACTAAAGAGAATCTAGGTTTAAGTATTTTTATTTTTTATTTTTTGTTATTTCATATTTGTTTGCATTTGTATTGTTAACATGTTTTATTGCATGTGCTGAAAAAAAAGAGAAAGTTGTAGAAGAGCAAAAAAGCCAAAAGAAATGTTTAAGTTCTAATTTTGGGTTAGATTAGAACTTAATGTGTTTGGAAAAGACATAACAATAAATCATGTGCTAACGATTAAAGCTGAATATATTCCAAACTAAGGAGGGTAAAAATTTGGTTCGAGTTCTAATTTTGGGTTTCAACCATCCATTAATCCTCTAGGTTAGACTCAAGAAAATCTTAAGCCAGATCCTAGGCTCTAAGAAAGAATCAGAAAGAAAGAAATAAAACTCACCAAAAGTGAGTTCAACAGTCCTTGATGATGAATACTCCCACTTCATTACTTTTAAGTTTTGACTATAATGAAATCACTAATTTTTTTTAATGGATTCTAAAGCCCAATGGAAATTTATGGAAGAAAAAACTACCAATTTTCTTGCCTCTATAATGAATAAAGAATCAAAAGCTTGAAATCATTTCATAATTGCAAAACTTATGCCAGGTATAAAGATTAACTAGGTGACAAAAGATAAGGCCATCATTATTTTTTGCATTTAAAAAAAAAAATCAATTGATATTGGAAATTTTATTCACTCTTCTATCCTCTCTATTATTGAGAGGAGTCCACCATATGGCCACCCAACTATTATTTATGCTTTATGCTCCATGGCGGGTGCCCTTGAGGAATGTTTTGAAGAGTTGTTATTTCTTAGATGTCTTAGGACTAGGGATACAATAACATCTTCTAAAGGAACTACTTTTAAGATTAGTGAAAGCTCCTCCCATCCCTTTACTTCTTAAGCTAAGCCCTCCACTGCTTCTCTGGTTTATAGGTTGAGTGAGGTGAGTGGTTTTTTTTCAAATATGCAGAGATGACGGGTGGAGATAGATCAGAAGTTTGACAACCATATGGATTAACATCGACAACAATTTGATTACTAGGATGATTTCAACTAAGTTTCAGTAAGCATGTTTTAGGATTGCTAATTGAACATTGGTCGCGATGCTATCTAATTCCATCACACCTGAGTACCACTACTACACTACCTCGGCTTAGCCTATGAAGGCATAAGAGAGTGGCAGTGACGAGGGAGAGGAGGAGGAAGATACATAATTTTATCATGTTTATATCTTGTGGTTATGTTTGTATGTTGTTAATGTGAGTACTTTTTTTCATTTAGGTGCATTTACTCATATTATATAACAATATATTTTTTTCATAATATATGGAAAATAAAATACCCTTGCGCACGTAATAATTTTTTGGAGTAAATTTATGATTAAATTTACATAAAATTACATACTTAACACACAATTCTTTTGTATTTACATATATAAAACTCAAAATTTTATATTTATATTTAGGGGGATTTACAAGCGTACCACTACAAACTACTAATTTTACATATTTAACACCCTAACTATTAAATTATGATCATACCACCTACCACATCCCAAAAAAAAAAAAGATAAATTGTGTAGTTCACTCAACCACATTAAGCAACACAATAAGGTTTCCCCGCACTCTAAACTCATCTCGATTTCACGCCGCCACCTTCCAATGACACCCAAGTCACCTTTTCCTCCTTTCTCTCCAAGCACGAGAAAATAGAGATTTCTTCTTTGTGTTCAAGGGAACAATTGCATGGTTAGAGCACCTAATTGTCACACCTCTGCATCCTCTCTCTAGCAATGCTAGTCATGGTAGCAACCGAGAACCCTCCTCCTCCTTCACCTTCTTACAAGTATAGTCAAGGAATCATAGAGGATACACATGAATGGCCCCCATCCCAACCATTTAAGTTATTAAGGTATAAGATTGTGATGTTCTGAACTAATGATTCTCGTTACTAATTTAACGTTATTTCTATTTAATGTAGTACTTCAATAATTTGGATTTATTTCTTTTCATGAAACTTTATTTTTTCACCTTATGATAAAAATCAATCTTTTGAATGCAAATCTTGTTTAAATGGTCCCACCATCACGAAGTTCATGAATATATCTAAAAAACGTAATAGTGGCCTTAAATGTGTTCTTTATTTGGAATAAATGTGATTTTTAAGGCTTGATGCAACCCATCATTTATATAGCTCTTTTAATGCATTAGGAAGAATGGCCAAATTTTCATCAAGTATTTTCTTTATTATCACCTCTTTGATCATAACTTTTAGCCATGAAAGAACTATTTATTTTAATTTATTACATAAAATAACTTAGGCATCATTCAAATATAACCGCAAGAGAATTCTTTATTCTCTAATTTGGTTTTGTTTTCATTGAATAAGCTTAGCCCCTCTTGTTTATTGTATAGAATCATTTATGATTATGTATTACAGTATGTTCTAGTTTCAGTGTTTATGTTCAATATATATAGCATTGAGAGCTATGATAAATGCTTCACAATTTTCGCATGGAAATTCCCATTATTCATGAAGAAGATTCATGTTGAGAATGATCTTTTATGAATATTCAATTGATGTTTAGGCAACAATTAAAATGTTTTTGAGTAGAAATAAAAAAAAAGACATTATTTTGTACTATAAAGTATTATTTTATAAGATCATTCCAATATATTATCATGGTTGCAGCTTCTATCTTCTTTTATGAGCATGCTTGAAATCAATAAGCCATAGTTTCAAATATTTGACAATTATTTAGGTTAGGATGCAGAAACAACACATTGGAAACAATCTATTTGTGCATTATGAGCTTTACATCTTTTTGTATCTTATTTGTTTAGCATTGATGTCTATTTTTCTAATTATTTTTATTTGAACTAATGTGATATATGTATAGTGTAACAAGGTTATGAGATGATTGATGTTTAGTGTGACCAAATCATTTAAGATGATTATTTCTGTTCTTATCCATCACTGGAGCCAGTCCAACCTTTTCACGGATCTATTTGTTGAATCCCAATCTGTTCGAGAGAAATGCCCAAAGAATAGAGCGTTATAGAGAAAAAGAGTAAAAACAATAGTACTGCATTGTATAGTAAAATCTCTCGTCCTTTATTCATAGGAGAGACCCTCTATTTATAGGATTAGTTCAATTACAATTACATACTATACCCCTTAGATACATCGGCATGGCGGGAGTATCTTTCACCGTACATAAATGATAGTTACAGTGTTCCCAAGTGACTTATTTAGTCTTCAGGTTCGGCGGCTTCTAGCCGACCCATCTTCAATTTGGGCGTATTAAGCAGAAATCTACTAAGTTAGATGACCATTTGATCAGACGACCGCTGAGCCGGGCAGCCAGCTAATACAAGGGGGCAGATTAACAGGGTCAGTTGATGCTTCTTCTGCCCTCGACGATAGAGAGACCGTCAATTAGAGAGAAAAAAATCTGGCAGATCAAATATGCTTGGCCCTGGCCACCTTTGGAGGGTCCATCGAAGTCATGCGGATATCTTTGAGATTTGTGCTTGCCAAGCGCAGGATCATCCGCACAGCTCGTGCGTTAACGCGATCCACGTGCCATTGAGACCGCCAATGCTACTCTACACGCGTACAAAACCCTGGGAACATACAAATATGATCAACCCCTCCTCCTCCTCCTCCTCCTCCTCAAGCAAATCTCACTACATGTCCACCGACTCCAACTCCGCCGGCGAAGTTCCCGGCGATCCAACACACCTCTCCACTTCCCTCATGAGCGCAACTAGCCTAATCCAATCCTTTGCACCCATCTCCCGCATCCATCAACACCTCTGCGCCTTCCACCTCTACGCCGATGACACGACCCGACAGGTCCAAGCCCACCACTTCTGTTCCCACGTCAACGCAGACGTCC